CGGGGGCACCGGGAGCGCTGCGGGCGCCAATCTCTCCCGCGCGGGGCCCCGGCACCGCCGCAGGCCCCGCTGGCACCGGCGCGGCCGGGGGGGAGCGGCGGGAGCGGCCCCGCCCCAGCTTCCCGCGAGAGCGGCGGCGACCAATCAGAAGCGCGCCTTTAAGGGGCGGGGCTTCCGGGCGGAGCGTGCCGTTGATTGGCTGGTTGAGGCCCCGCCCACAGCGTGGTCACGTGGCGAGGCCGCGTGAGGCGGGAGCCGCCGGCTTTGATCGCGATAATTAACGGGGATTAATGAATAATTAATGAGTAATTAATGAATAACTGATGAAAGGAACCGGGAGAGAGGCGGGCTGGGCAAGGCGGCTCAGGGAGAGCGGGGGGCGTGGAGCGGCTGCGCCAGGGGAGGTTTGGGAATGTTGGGAAAATTCCCACCTGGAAAATTCCCACCTGGAAAAGCTCCAAGCATGGAGGAGCTGCCAGGCAGGGCTGGAATCACATCCCGGAGGGATTGAAACCCTTTGGATGTGGCACTTGGGGCAGCGGCACGGTTGGAGTCCAGGACCTCCAAGGGCTTTTCCAACAGAAACAATTCCATGATTCCAAACAAATTCCAGATCCTCCATCCCTAGAAACCACCCAGCTGGGGATAAACCCAACAGAGCCTGGATGAACGCGATTCAATCCCGACCCAGCGCTAACCCCAGGAATTCTGCACCTTGCCCACCAGGAGCTGCTGCTTCGGAGGAGATCCCAGGCCTGGGAAAGGCTGGAAAATCAGGAATTCCAAGAGGAATTGTTATCCAGGGCCTCGCCAGCTCCTGATTCCTGGATTCCCTTGATTTTCCAGGAAAAACAATCCCAATGCAGCGCAGATTCCAGCGCGTTGGAAGGAGTGGCGCCTCTCGGACACCGATTCCCATCCCAGTTTTTCCTTGGTTTTGCCAAGGAGCCGGAATGGCTTCCACGAACCCCAGCATTCCCATCTTTCCCTCAAGATCCAAAGGAAGCTTTCCCATCTTTTCCTGGTTTATTCCCCAGATCCGAAGGGAACGTTCCCCGGGCCCCATCCCCCGCTGGCAGCCCCAGCGGATCCCGGCTGGAATGCCGCGGGATCGGCCCCGCTCAGAAGTTCTCCTTGGAGAAGCGGAAGCCGAAGCTCCGGCAGTGCCGGCGGATGACCTTGGCCAGCCCCGTGGAGCCGCAGAAGAACACCCGGACCTTCCCGCGCCGCTCCGCCGCCACCTTCCCGAACACCTGCGGCGGGAACGCGCCGGGATCCGGGAACGCTCCGTTCCCTTCCAGCCCCGCCCGCTCCATCATCCCCTGATCCCACCCCGTCATCCCTGGGCCAGATGAGACACTTGGAATGTGGTCATCTTTGGGGTCCTTCCAACCCAACCCATTCCCTGATTCCATGATCCCATTCCATGACTCCATGATCCCTGCCCCAGATCAGAAGCTTGGAATGAGATCATCTTCCCATTCCCTGATTTTCTGATCCCATTTCACGATTCCCTGATCCCATTCCATGATTCCATTCCCCAATTCCCTGACCCCATTCCCTGATTCCGTGATCCCATTCCCTGATTCTCTGATCCCGTTCCCCAGTTCTCTGATCCCATTCCATTATTCCATGATCCTGTTCCATTATTCCATTCCCTGATTCCATGATCCCATTTCCCTGATTCTCTGATCCCGTTCCCCAGTTCTCTGATCCCGTTCCATTATTCCATTCCCCGATTCCGTGATCCCATTCCCCGATTCCCTGATCCCTCCCTTGGCGCCGCTCACCCTCTCCACACCCCAGCATTCCCATTCCCGGGCTCCCAGACCTTGTCCCAGTCGGGGCGGCCGGGCCGGGTGCGGCTGCGGAGCCCGGAGATGGAATCCCGCTGTTCCCGGGCCGCCAGCAGGTCCAGGGCCAGCTGCAGCCCCAGCGCCTTCACGTCGCCCTTGCCCAGCGCCGAGGTCATGTACAGCTGCAGCTCCAGGAACTTCCCTGGCAATCCCAGGGATTCCAGGCGCCCGCCGGGATCCGGCCCCGCTCCAGGGCCTGGACCGGGCGGGGGGTTTTCCCGGGAATGACCTGGATGCTCCTGCTCACCTCCCGGCTCCAGCTCCGCCTGCTCCGTCTCCAGCTTGGCCAGGAGGCCCAGGAACCACTGCAGGTGCTGCTGGTCCCGTGTGATCCAGATGAAATCCACCTGGCAGGGCGGGAAAGCCTCGGCTTGGGATCTCACTGGATCCTGGCACCAGATCCCGATACCAGATCCAGCCCCCATTCCCAAAGCTCCCAGATTTGAGGGATGCTCCTGAGCTCTCCACCTCCAGACCCTGCAGCCCCATCCCAGGCCAAGCCTGGATCCCACATCCCCTCTCGCTCCCGTTCCCACCTTCCGGAGCGTCATCTCCTCATCCCGCTGTTCCTCGCTCCAGGAGAAATGGCAGCTGGGGCAGCTCTGCTTCCGCCGCCGGTACCTGCGCGGGGCAGCGGCACTTCCTGCTCATTCCTCCTCCTTCCTTCCCATTCCTGCTCATTCCTCCTCCTTCCTTCCCATTCCTGCTCATTCCTGCTCCCTCCTTCCTTTTCCTTCTCCTTCCTGCCTTGTCCTGCTCCTTCCTTCCCATTCCTGCTCATTCCTGCTCCCTCCTTCCTTTTCCTTCTCCTTCCTTCCCATTCCTGCTCCCTCCTTCCTTTTCCTTCTCCTTCCTTCCCATTCCTGCTCCTTCCTCCTCCTTCCTTCCCATTCCTGCTCCCTCCTTCCTTTTCCTTCTCCTTCCTGCCGTGTCCTGCTCCATCCTTCCCATTCCTGCTCCATCCTTCCCATTCCTGCTCAATCCTGCCCCTTTCTACCTTTCCCTGCTGCTTCCTTCCCCTTCTTGCCCATTCCTGCATTCTCCTCCTTCCTTTTCCTGCCTTTCCTGCCCATTCCTTCCCCTTCCCTCCCGGTGCCTGCCCATGGCCAAGCTCCCTCCAGCGCCCTTCCCGCAGCCCAAATTCCCAAGGAAAACCCTGGCACCTGTGGCCATGGGAATGAACCCCAAGGATTGAGGACTGGAGGACAGCTCCACCTGGGCATCCATCCCGAATCCCTGGGACATTCCCAGGCTGCGGGGGCTCGGCGGGACCCACCGGAACATGATGCTCTGCAGGATGGAGGCGAAGGGGGTGATCCCGATGCCGGCTGCGATGAGAACGGCGTGCTCCGAGGTGAAGATCCGCCGGCTCGGGGTTCCGTAGGGACCGTCCAGGAAGCACTGGGAGAGATCCAGACTCGGGGACAGATCCAGCAGTTCCAGGGGCTGGAGCAGCTCCCGGGCAGAGGAGAAGGGCACAAAGGAGATCCTGGAATTTGGGATCTTCCCGGGGTTTTGTGGGAGCAAGGAATGGGTGGGAAGGACTGGAGATTTCCAGCAGGGCAGGGTTTGGATCAGCCCCAGCTGGGATCATCCATGCACAGGGATGGAGCAGCTGGGAATGGGGATGGGATGGTGGGAATGAGGATGGGATGGACGGGATCGGGGATGGGATGGTGGGAATGCTGATCCCGGCCCATTTCCCGGGATCCAGGAAAGGCAGGAACATCCTCACCTTGACGCTGCAGCTCCGCTGGGTCTCCCCGGGCCCAGCGCCCTGCAGGAGAGGGGAGCAGTGACCACCCCCCCTTCCCAAGCACTCCCAAAATTCCCTGGATTTGGGTGTTTTCCCACTGGGCTGCACACACAATTCCAGCTGCCAATGCCACAATAATATCCAAGGAATTTCTTTCTGAAGAGGAGCTTTTTAAGGAGCTTTATCCAATTTGGGATCCAGTCCCTGTCCCCTGGGGTTGGGGCAGTGCTCACCCCCTGCTCTGGGTCCTTTCCTGGGAAAGTGGCTCCAGAGGCTTGGAATGCCGTCAGCTCCACAGCTCCGTCCCTGCTGAAGGCCACGGATCCTTCCTGGGAAAAAAGGCTGGAATCAGCGATGGGATCACCGCTCCAGGGATCTGCTGGGCCTCCAGCAGGGTCACAGCAATTCCCATTCCATGGAAAATCCACAAAATCCCATCAATCCCAAATCCCACCATCCCATCCATCCATCCCAAATCCCATTCCATGGAGCACAAAATCCCATCAATCCCAAATCCCACCATCCCATCCATCCATCCCAAATCCCATTCCACGGACACAAATTCCATGAGGCACAAATTCCCGTTCCATAGGACACAAACCCTTCAAGGCTGGACAAGCAGGGAATGTTCATCCCAAGGGATTCCCCGGCTGGGATGATCCCATGGGATCCACTCCACATGCAGCTGCACCCATCCCTTTGCTCTGCTCCCAATCCCACGATCCCACCTGTTTCCAGTGCCGGCTCCTCCGCTCCCTCCAGCTTTTCCTGGGCAGGTTTGGCTCCGGGCCGTGCAATTCCAGCTGCTGGAAGTACTCGTAGAGCTTGGTGGTCCATTGGCCCCGCGCCCGGATGTGCAGCCACAGGGTTTCTGTGGGATCAATCCCAAAATCCTGGAATTCTCTGGATTGGGAAGAACTTCAAACCAAACTCATCCCGTGAAACTGGCCTGGCTCGCTCCAAGCCCCATCCCAGCTGGAAAAACATCACTGTGGGCATGGAAAACAGATCCTGGGGGTGGGAAATGGATCCCAGGGATGGAAAATGATCCCAGGGGTGGGAAACGGATCCTGGGTGGGATAACAGATCCTGGGGATGGAATGGAAAACATTCCAGGAAGGGGAAACAGATCCCAGTGGTGGCTCACAGATCCTGGGGATGAAAAACAGATCCCAAGGGTGGGAAACAGGTGGAAAGAAGATCCTGGGGGTGGGAAACGTTCCAGGGAAATTTGCAGGGAACACGAGGAACCTGGCTGCTCCGGAGCACTGCTGATGGAGAAGGGATGCCACTCGTAGGCGGCGATGGCCGGGATGTTCAGGTAGACGTAATCCCCCGGCTGGAAGCGGAAGGATTTTGGCCTCTGGATCACCAGGTGGGTCACCTGCAGGAGAACGGGAGCAGGAAAACTGGGAATGTCCAAAGGATATCTCCCGCTGGTTCCTGTGGAGCTGAAATTCCGGGTTCTGCCTCCCGTTGGGTTTGTTCCCCGTTCCCTGCCCAGTTTGGGTTGCACAAAATCCCAGTTCAGACTGGGCTCAAACTACAGGATTTGGGGAAAAAATTCTGAGTTTCCAGGAGTTTTTGTTCTGCTCTGGTTGTTCCATGAATTTTCATTTAAAAAAAAATAAGGAAAAAGGCTTGGAAATAATTCCTTTGGCCTCCCACTGCCACCTCCAGCTTTTCTGTGTTTGTTTGTTCCTTCATTCCCAGAGTGCCGGGAGGAGGTGGGAGATGGGATAGTGGGATTTGAGATGGATGGATGGATGGATAGGATTTGGGATGTTTGGGATGTGGGGTATTTGAGATTTGGGATTTATTCCCACCTTGGAGGGCAGCAGCTTGGCCTCCAGGATGTGCAGATCCCCCGCCCGGCGCCACGCCCAGCCCAGAACCTTCTCCAGCACAAACAGGGAGCCGGGAATCAGGAACCACTTCCAGAAGTGGGGACCGTGCAGGAGCAGCAGGATCCACACGGGGATGTAGGAGAGGTGGCTCCAGTAGAAAACCTGGGAATGGGACGGGGAATGGGAAGTGCTGGACCCAAATGGAGCTTCCTGGTGGGGCTGCCTGGGTATCCCAGTGGGAAAAGGCAGCCCAAGGCAATCCTGGAATCTCTGGGACTGGGGATAAGGAAAGGACCTTAAACCCATCCAGTTCCAATCCCAACACCTCCCACTATCCCAGGCTGCTCCAGGGACACTCCCAGGGATCCAGAGGCACTCACAGCTTCCCTGGGAATTCCATCCCAATATCCCTATGGTGCTGGGAAACCATTCCCTGGGTCCCGTGGGGAAGAAAATCCCAGGAACCCCGAACTGCGAGTGTGGCGTGCCCAGGGCTCCCGGGCTCCCACAGGGCAGTTCCAGGATGGGCACCCAGGGGTGACTCCCCTTCCCACCACGGCACCCCCGGCATTCCAGCCGGGAATTCCCATGGGATCACCTCGAAGTGGCCGCCGCGCCGCACGCAGGGGCTGGAGCAGGCCAGCATGGCCAGGAGCAGCGCCAGCAGTGCCAGCCCGGTCTGCGGGGCAGTGCCACCAACGCCGCCAGCGCCCGGCCGCGCCCGCCGCGCGTACTCGCCCAGCGCCACCAGCCAGTCCCGCTGTGCCAGGCCTGGGGACACGGGCACAGCTCAGCACCGCCCTGCCACCCCCTGCTGCCCCGCCGGGAATGCCCAGAGCCCGGCCCGGGACTGTCCCGGGCGTGCTGGCACGGGAGGGAGCAGAGGTGGCCCCTGGGGGGACAGAGCCCTGGCACCCGCTGTGGGATGGGGACTGGGGGTACCGGGATGTGGGGTGCCGGGATTTGGGAATACCGGGATTGGGATCTCGCTCAGGACCTCGGCTGTCCGGCGGGAGCCGCTAGAGGGGGATCACAGGTGCCGGCTGCTGTCCGCGCCCTGTCCCCTGTCCGTGCCCTGCCCTGTCTGGCCAATGTCCCCTGCTGTCCCAGTGTCCTTGTCCCTGTCCCTGTCCCCGCCCGTGCACCCCCCGGCACGGCCACCCCTCCTCCAGGGCATCTCCCCTTCCCTGGGACACAGACACCCCTCCCATGGGATCCCGGGCCATGATTCCCCATCCCTGGGCTCCCTGTCCCACTGACCCGCCTGTGCCAGGTGTGCCCCGTGCCCCGTGTCACTGCCCCGCCTGTGCCAGGTGTGCCCCCGCGTGCGCGGTCCCCAGGGCCAGCACCAGGTGTCCCACGCGCTCGTGGCCCCGCACGTGCAGCTCCAGCGGGAACAGCTCCGCCAGCGGCGTGGAGCGCAGCCAGGTCAGAGAGCGCCGCAGCATCAGCGCCTGGGGACAGCGACAGGGGGCAAAGAGGGGACAGGGGTGAGGGCAGGGACAGGGCAAAGAAGGGGCGAGAGAGGGAACAGGGACAGGAGACAGGGACAGAGGTGAGGGCAGGATCAGGGGCGAGGGACGGCGGCAGCGATGGGGACAAGGGACAGGGACGAGCCGTGGGCGAGGGGAGGGCCCAGGGCACCCGGAGATAGCGGGGGGCAAATGGAAATGGGAGGCACTGGGAGATTCCGGGGTAATGGGAAATGCTGGGGGACAATGGGAAATTCCAGAGGGAACGGGACATGTTGGGGGACAATGGGAAATTCCAGAGGGAACGGGACATGTTGGGGGACAATGGGAAATTCCAGAGGGAACGGGAAATGCTGGGGGACATTGGGAAATTCCAGAGGGAACGAGACATGTTGGGGAACCATGGAAAACGCCGGGGACAACAGGAAACTTTGGGCCAGCGTCCCTCCTGGCTACCCCGGGACCCTCCCGGCCTTCCCGGCTCCCTCCCGTCCGTGTCCCCCCGGTGTCCCCGGTGTCGCGGGGCACTCACGGCCAGCAGGGCGCAGTTGAGGTTGAGGCTCTGCCCGCAGCCCCGGGCCAGCGCCAGGGCGGGGCCGCGCTCCCGGTGCCACAGAGCGCCCAGGGCGAGCAGGAGCGCCGTGGTGGCGAGCCAGGCCCCCAGGCAGCACCGCCGGGCCCGCCGGTCCCCGCGGGATTCCCGGGAACAGCAGCACAGCCAGGGCTCAGAGGGACTGGCACTGGGGGGCTTCAGCCAGCTGGCGGCACTGGGAAAATGGGAATTGGGGTTTGGATGGGAATTTGGGGGTGTTTGGATGGGGAACAGGGAGCCGGAGAAGTACCCAGCCCGGGGTGATAGCCAATCCTACAGCCAGAGTGGCAGCATCCCTCCATCCATCCCAAATTCCAAACCCTGCCCCATCCCAAACTATCCCTGATCCAAACCCTGCCCCATCCCAAACCCATCCCAACCTATCCCTGATCCAATCCCAAACCTCTCCAGCTGCTCCCGACCCCACTGTGGGCTCCCCATGGAATCCTTTCCCAGAAATCCCAGAGTTCCCCTCCCCACCTGATGCTCAGGTTCTCCAGGAGTTCCGGAAACGCTTCCAGCTGCTCCTGGAGCTCCGGGAAGGTGATGGAGCCGCTGTGATCCCGGTCGAGGGCCTGGAGCAGGGCCTGGCTCAGGGCCCCGAGCCGCTCCTCGGGAAGGGCCAGGGAGCTCTCCCGGAGACACCCCCGGAGCACCACCCGCAGCTCCTCGGCGTCGATGGAGCCGCTCCCTGGAAACCGGGAGAATCCCGATATCCCACAGCCCTACAGAGTCACCTCCATCCTGCTATTCCACAGCTCCATGGAGTCACCTCCATCCTGAAATTCCACAGCCCCATGGAGTCACCTCCATCCCGATATCCCACAGCCCCATGGGGTCACCTCCATCCCGATATTCCATGGAGTCACCTCCATCCCAATATCCCACAGCCCCATGGGGTCACCTCCATCCCAATTTTCCAGTCCTAATCCAGGAAGTTTCCTTGCAGGGAGGAAAAACCTGGTTGGGTCAGGATCTGCTCCCTGGAGAATCAGATTGATGCCAATATTCCACACTCCTACGGAGTCACCTCCATCCCAATATTCCACAGTCCTACAGATTTTCCAGTGCAAAATCCTGGCTGGGTCAGGATCTGCTCCCAGGAACAAGCGATGGGATAATGGGAATGGCATCCAGGGGAGGCTGAGGTTGGATATTTGGGAATATTCCTTCATGGAAAGGGAAGCATTGGAAGGGGGTTGGGGGTGGGAACAGTTGGATCCGATCTCCGAGGGCTTTTCCAACCCAAACAATCCCACAATTTCAGGAAAGTGGGACGGGGAGTTGGGATTGGAGCTGAGCAGATCCCGCTCTCCCCGGCTGATGGAAAATCCTGGGAAATCCTCAGGTGTGACCAATGGAATCATTGTCTTCCTCCTGGAATTTTCCCATTTCCACATGGAACGAGGGCAGCAGCCTCATCCCAGCCAAAGCCGGATGCTCAGAGAAGACCAAATCCCAAATTTATCCCAAAAAACCCCAACGAATGCCATTTTTCTCCTCTCACCGTCCACATCGTACACCTGGAAGAGGAAGCGGAGCTTTTCCGTGGAATTCCCGTGGAGCAGCCGGCGCAGGGATCCCAGCAGCTCCTCCCGGCTCAGGGAGCCGCTCCCGTCGGAATCGAAGAGCGCGAAAAACCTCTCAGCAAAGAAGGACTGCGGGAAAAGCGGGAATGTTCCCGTGGAGCAGGGAATGGGGAATGTTCCAATGGATCAGAGGATGTTCCCATGGAGCAGGGAATTCCCACTGATCTCTCCCCACTTCCCACAGATCCCATTCCCTCTTCCCACGGATCCCTGACCTCCTTGACCTGCAGGGCGGATTTGAACTCTTCCAGGCTGATTTCCTTCTCCTTCCCAGCGACATTCCCGAATTTTTTGCTCGCCCAGCGCAGCCACTCCGCGTCCGCCGCCGTTCCCATGGTTCTGGAGAGATCCCTAAATCCCAACAATCCCTTTTTTGGCATCTCCTCCCAGCCTCGTTCCAGAGAGCTCCCAGCATGGAGCATCCCAAAGTTGGATCCTGCAGGGATCAGCTGCGTTCCATGGAATCCCAAATTTCCATGGAGCTACTGAGCCCTGGGATAATCACAGGGCCCATGGGAGCATCCCTGGGGGTTCCATTTTCCCAGAAAACCTGAGCCCCGATCATCTCCCATTCCTTCCTTCCTTCCCCATTCCTTCCTTCCCCAGCCCTCCAAAATTCCTCCAATCCCCCACGCTCCATGAAATCCATCAGCACTTCCCAGCATCCCAGATTTCCCCAGGATCCAAAGGAAAATCCAGCTTCCAGGAGCCTTTTCCCATCTCCGCTCTCCTCTTCACCTCCAACAGATCTGGGGAGACTCCAAAGGGAAATCCCAGAAAAGCTCGCAGTGTTCCCGAGGAGAGGGATGGATCCGGCTGGGATAAATCCCAAATCCCAAATCCCTGCTCCCGCCTCATTCCCATTATCCCTCCCTTCCCAAATCCCGCCCAGCTCCGTGGCCCATCCCAATCCTGCTTTTTCCAGCTGTTGTTTATCTCTTTGCCAATCCCTGCACTGGACATTCCCTGTCCCATCCATCCCTCGGGAATTGTGCTCCTGCCAGATCCATCTGGAGCCGTCATTCACAGGATGCAGTCCCGAATTCCGGCCCGTCAGGAACACACCGGGAATGTCTCCTCCAGCCTCCATCCTTTGATTCCCTCCGGAATGAATCCGCCTGGGACGAGGTTGCCATGGGAATGTCAGGAGCAGATCCAGGTACAAACATTCCCCATTCCCACATTCCAGAGGCATCCGAGCCCGTGGGTCCCACCTGGAATAACCTCCAGGAGCTGCTGGAGCACGGAACTGATCCCAGAAAATTCCAAACACCCCCAGGATCTCAGGATCAACTGGATTAAATCCAGCCCTATCCAGATTTTTCCCATCCCCAATCCAGCCTTTTCCCAGGATCTCCGTGCCTTTATCCCGGCATTTCTGGGATCCCAAAGGTTTTTCCCGGGATAGAGCTGTTCCCCCCTTTTCCCGCTGCTTTTCCAGCTCTTCGTGCCATATCCAGGTGCATCCATAGGGAAAAACCTGGGAATTCTCCTGCTCCACGTGGGATTTGGGGCTCCAAGGGGGCTTTTCCCAGCTCCAAGGAACGGGAATTCCAGGTGGGAATGTTGGGAATGGGGGCCAGCAGCAATGGGAGCTCCATTCCTAATTTTCCCTCTAATTTCATGGGATTTGCTCATTCTGAGGAATTAAATCCCTGTTTTTCCCACATTTTCCCTGGATTCCCTGATTCTCCAAGGAATTTAATCCCTTTCATTCCTGTTTTTTTTTCCAGGAACCACACTCCATTCCCAAGTTTTCCTTGGATTCCAAAGGATTTGCTCATCCTGAGGAATTCAATCGGTTTTTCACAGGAAACCTTCCCCAATTCCCAACTTTTCCCTGGATTCCACTTCAAATTTGTTCTATTTTTCCATGTTTTCCACCCATTCTCCCTAAATTCTGAAGGATTATCCCAGAATTCCTTGGACTTTTAACCCTGATTTTTTGGGGCATTTTACCAAACTCTCCCATTAATCCAGGCCAATAAAACAGGAAAGTCTTGGAATATTCCATTAGAAAAATCAGGAACGTTGCCATTATCCCATACATTTTTCCATTAAAAAGAAAATAAATTTAATATTTTAAAAATGGGAGTAACATTTTCCAACTAATTTTAGGGAATTCTGGAGCCGTCCCAGAATTTTCTTCCTCATTTTTTACCTTCCAATCAGCTTTTCAGCATTTTTTTTTCAGATTTTCCCACTTTTTTTCCCTGGAATGCTGCAAAAATTCTGATTTTAAGGGGTTAAACCACAAATTGGAAATTCTTGTGGAATCCCAAGGGTGTTTTCCATGGAATTCCTGGATCCCAGGGATTTGTTGTATCCCAAGGTTCCCCAGCTGGGAATGTTGAGGGTGGGAATTTGGGGAATTCAGGGAATTTTTCCATTCCCAGCTGTGCAGAGCTGGGAGCCGTTCCTAAGAAAAAGAAGGAATTCTTTGTGTGGGAAAACAAAGGGACATTCAAGGGATGAACAAACAATTCCCAGGGATTTTCCATGGGAATTCACCCCAGGAATGCAGGGCAGGAACGGGAGGATTCCTCTGGAATTTGGGAGGGAATCCTGGGAAAAGAAAGGGAAAAACTGTAATTTCCTGTGGGGAAAAAATCCCACAAATTTCATTAAAAATTCCTGCTAAAAACTAATCCCAAAAATTCAAAATTCCTGGGAAAATAAACAAGGAAAAATCCCAGAAATTCCTGGTAAAAATAAATCCCATCAATTCAAAGTTCCTGTTAAAATGGCCAAGGAAAAAACCTCAAATTCCTGCAAAAAAAAAACCCAATCCCACACATTCAAAATTCCTCTTAAACAAGGAAAAAAAACCCAAACTGAAAATTCCTGGTAAAAATCAAGAAGGAAAAATTCCATAAATTCAGAATTCCTGGTAAAAATGGACAGGACAAACTCCACTGAAAATTCCCCTTAAAAACATATCCAAGTAATTTCAAAGTTCGTGGTAAAATAAACAAGAAAAAATCCCAGGAATTCCATTAAAAATTCCTGGTAAAAACAAATCCCACAAACTCAAAATTCCTCTTAAAAATAACCGGGAAAAATCACACAAATTCCTGTTAAAAACAAGGAAAAAACCTCAAATTCCTGCTAAAACCCAATCCCATAAATTCCAAATTCCTGATAAAAACAAACAAGGAAAAAAAATCCCAACAATTCCCATTAAAAACCAACCCCAGAAATTGAAAATTCCTATAAAAACAAAGCAGGAAAAAACCCACCAGGAATGAAAAAAAATCACAGAAGGAAAGTAAAATATGGAAAAATAACCCTTCAGATTTATTCCCAATATAACAATCCCCAATTTTTTTAAAATTCCCAAACACTTGGAACACAAACAATGAGAGAAGCAGCTTTAAACATGGAATGTTGGCTTGGAACTGGGAATAAATTCCCTCAATAACGAAAGAAAAAGGAATTTTCTGCACCTTCAAACAATCAAAATCCACATTTTTCTTTGGAAAAAAAAAAAACAAAGGAAAAAGCAGCTCTGGACTCCCAGAAATTCCTTTGAAATCCCAGCCTGTCCCAGCAATCTTTTTTTTCCAGGAGAAAAGTCCTTTTCCAGAGGTTTTCAGCAGCACCAGGAGCAGAAATTCCATGAAAAGTTCCCAAAGATTCAGCCCAGGAGCCACCTCTGGACACACCTGGAAAGGAGAAGTTTAAACAGAGCTCAAATCAAATTCTACCTCATTCCCAAATCCCAAACATTTGGAAAAGTTTGGAATATTCATTCCAATCAAGGATTTCTCAGCCAATCCCAAACTTCCATCCTAAACCCCTTAAACATTCCAAAAAAAGGAACATTTTGCAGTTTTCTTTTGCTGAAATTGGGATTTTTACCTGGAGTTGGATCCAGCTTTTCCCGTCCCCTTCCCAACATAATTCCTGCTGATTTTATCCATATTCCTGGAACTTCTCTGTGCTCACAGCTGAGACTTCATCTCCATCCTGAACTGTAAAATACATTAATAAAATCAAGTTTCCCAAGGATTTTCAGCATTCCCTTGATGCTTTCCAACACCTCTTTGGGATTTTCCAGCCCTGTGTTTTCCAGGAAAAGCAGGAAGGGATAAACAGGAATTTTAGAAGGAATCAAAGCACTTTTTACCTGAGTTCTGCTCCAGCTGATGGGAACTGTTTGGAAATCCCAAATCCTTGGAAAAGAGCAGCTCTGGGCTTGGATCCTCATCCCTCAGCACCTGGAAAAGGATCCGGGAGCAGGGAATTGTTTGGGATGGGAAGGAGTGTCAAGTTCATCCCATTCCACGGGCTGGGATCATTCCCACTATCTCAGGCTGCTCCAAGCCCACGCTGGACATCCCAGGGATGGAGCCCTGGGAATTCCAGACCCACGAGGAATTCCTTCCCAATATCCCACCCCCATCTCCCCTTTCCCAGTTTGGAGCCATTCCCTGTGTCCTGTTCCTTATCCCACTCCCTTCTCCAGGAGCTCCTTTAGGCCCTGGAAAAGGCTCTGAGGATTCCTGGATTCTTCCCTTCTCCAGCATTCTCAGCCTCATTCTGCTGTTCCTGGAGTACCCAGTTTTCCTTCAAAATTCCTGGGATTTGGCTTGGAAAGTACCTCCAACCCATCCAGTTCCAACCCCAACGCCTTCCCCCATCCCAGGCTGCCCCAACCTGCCTTGGGACATTCCAGGGATGGAGCAGCCACAGCTCCTCTGGATACTCCATCCCAGACAGGAATTCATTCCCAGTATCCCAGCTCACTCTGCTCTCGTCTAGCCTGAATCCATGCCCCTTATCCTGGCACTCCAAGGGAAAAAAATCCCTTCCCATTTTTCCTGGGAACTGAAGGATTCCCGTCCTTGGCCCTGCTCCACCTCAGCACAGCCGGGCCCCGCTGTCCCTCAGGGACCTTCCCGGGGGATCCTCCCGCCCTTCCCTTCCCGGGGGTCCCGACCCTCCCCCGTTCCCCTGGGAGCCGCTCCCAGCCCGCCCAGGCAGTCCCCGCCGCAGGGACCCCTGTGAGGGCGGCCCGGCCGCTCCCCGTCCTCTCAGCGCCTCACCGGGGCCCTTCGCGGTACCCCGGTCACGGGCAGCGCCTCCCGTTCCCCTCCGGAGCCGCTCCCAGCCCGCCGAGGCGGCCGCGGCCGCGGGGACCCCTGTGAGGGCGGCCCGGCCGCTCCCGCTGCCCTCAGCGCCGCCGCCCCTCCCTCGCTCCGCCCGCCGCTCGCGCTCCGCCCGCCCCCCGCCGCCGGGGCCCGCGCCATTGCCCGCGCCATTCCCGTGCCTCGCTCCGCACCTTTCCCTCCCTCCTGGCTGCGCGCCCCTGGCCGGGCGGCTCCGGTTTGGCCGCCGCTCCCCGCCCCGGCACCTCCCCCAGGCTCGGGCGAGGCGCAGGGCGCAGCGCGCACCGTGCCCGGCGCGGCGAAGCCGCGGCCGCTCCGTCCCCATCAGGCGGCAGCGCGGAATGAGCCTGGGCTCGGCGCCGGGCTGTCCCCCTGCCCGGCACAGCCGCTCCCCCATTGGCTTCCGCCGCGCCTCGCGCTGCTGATTGGCCGAGACGCGGCAGCGGCGCGCTCCGATTGGCCGATCGCGCCGTCAATCCCGGCGGAGCCCCCGGAGCGCCCGCCCCCGCGGTTATCAGGTTAGTGCGCGCCGCGGTGCTGCGCTCGGGCTTCCGAGCGGCGCTGGGCGAGCCCGAGTCCCTCCGCGCCCCGCGATCGGGGGGCTCTGCACGGGGTCACTGCGCCAGCCGAGCCGCGCACCCTCCGCGCCTCCCGCCAGCCACGGACATGGACATGAAGAAAAGGATCCACTTAGAGCTGCGGAACAGGACGCCCTCAGATGTAAGCAATGCAATGCCAAAAAAAAAAAAAAAAAAAAAAAAATTAATGCTAATAACGCTAATGATGAGAATAATAAAAAGGCATCCCACGGTTAATTTTTTTTTTTTTTTTTTTTTTTTGGCGGGGTGGAGCGTGCCAGGTGTTGGCGGGGCCGCTGCTGCCCTTGAGGTGCCTACCTGTGTGTGTGGGGGGCTGTGCCCCCCGCTTTGGGGGGCGCGGGGCGCTCCGGGGACGGTCGGGGGCTCCCCGGGGCTGCTCCTGCCCGTGCCGGGCTGCGATGCCTCGGAGAGGGGCTGGCCGTGCATTAAATAAAAAATAAGTTGCTCGCTGCTCTCTCTCTCGGCGTGTTTAGTTGGCAAATATTTGTGCAGGGTGCTGGGCTAGGGAGAGGCAGGCAGGGACTGCGAGTGAGTTGCGAATGGTTTAGTTTAAAGTGCGTCTTCATTTCTTTGCAGTGATCAGGCAAGAGAGACTGGGGAGCCATATTTGTAACTTTGTAGTCCTCATGAACGCGCCCTTTCTCTCTCTCTCTCTCTCTCCCTCTCTCCAGATGCTGAGAAGATAAAAGGAAAGAATTTTGAAACCGACGCTTAGCGTTGGTTGGGTTTGGTTTGGGCTTTTTTTTTTTTTTTTTTTTCCCCCCTGTTGTTGGTTTTTTTTTAATTTTTATTTTGCGAGCAATGGGGCATCGCCGCCGGCAGCGCGAGCGTTGAATAATAATCCTAATAATCATAAGAATAATAAAAAATAATATTGGAAGAAATGAACGCACTCTCCACCCCCTCCATCCCCACACACGCACAAAAAGGCTGGATGTGTGTGCGTGTTTTTCCTTCTTCCCCCTTTTCCCCCCCTTCCTTCCCCCGGGGCCGGACTTCAGGTTGTTGTTCCGCGTCTGGCGGAATAAACGGGGGACGGCGAAAAACTTTGGCAGGACAAAAAAAAAAAACCAACAAAAACCCAACCAAAAAAAAAACAAAACCCCAACAAACCCCCAAAACAAGCAAGAAAATAACGGGGGGAGGGGGGAGGAAAGGAGCGAAAAATAGGAAAACCACCCCAAAAAGAGTGGGCGGGAGGTGGCCGGGGGCAGGCGGGGCGCGAACCCGCGGCGGGGAAGCCCCTTCCCCTCATCCCCCCCGCCCCGCCGGGCCCTCGGCGCTGCCCGGGGAGGCTCCACCGAGCCCCGGCCCCGCCGCGTCCCGCGAGCCGCCGGAGGCTGCGGGAAGGGGAGAGCGGGGGGCGAACGTACCTCAGCGGGCAGCGCCCGGGGCAGCGCGGCGGGACGCGGCGGCCGAACCGAGCGCGGTGTGCTCCGGGGAGGGAGGGGGGGGACGGGGGACGACAAAGGCGGGCGCGGGGCGGCGGAAGCTGCGCTTTAAAGTTTAAAAACTCCTGGGCGAGCAGGAGGAGGAAGAGGAGGAGGACGGCGAGAGGAGCGGGGGGGGTGGGGGACGACTCAACGGCAAACCCCGCGGTACAACCGCCATGGCTGGGGGGCTCCGTGAGGCGACCGCAGCGCAACTAGGACGCGGCGCCATGTTCTGTGCTGCCCCCCCGCCTTCCCCTCACGGCCGCCGCCTCCTCCTCCTCCTCCTCCTCCCGCCGCCGCCGCTGCCTCGGCCGCGGGCGGCCCCGCGGGGCCGTGAGGGAGCCCCGCTGGCGCCGGAGCTGAGGCGCTGCGGAGGCTGCGGCGGGGCCCTCCCGACATGACGGGCAGCGCTGCCATTTTGTCGCCGGCCGCGGGGCGGGAGGAGATTCGTGAGGGCCGCGTTGGGGTAAACCCCCCCCCCCCCGAAAAAAAAAAAAAAAAGCTTTAAAAAAATTAGGTTTTATTGACTATGTGGGACACCGGGAGGTCCGAACGGGGCCGGGGGAGCACCGGGAGGAGCCCCGCGGTTCCCCCGGGTGAGCAGCGCGGAGCGGGGAATCCGCCTCCTTCCTGGGCAGGGCCCTGTGGGGAGGCAGCATTGGGCTTGCGAAGTGTTTTGCTCCTTTTCATCCTGTTTTTTCTTATTTTCCCCCCGCTTTTTTTTTTTTTCATTATTTTTTTTTTCCTATTTTTAAAGTAGTTTTCTATTTTTGCTCATTTTTGCCCCCATTTCGCCTCACCACCCTCATCGCTGGAAGTTTCTTCCCCATTTTAAAGGATGTTTAGAACCAGCCTCCAAAGGGATAAACTCAATTTTCCCCTCTTTTTCCATGCTTGCATTTTGTGCTGTTTCCGCTCGCTTTCGTCTCTCGCCAGAAAAAGTTGGGAAAACTCGGAGCTGGAGGGAGTTCCCTGCTCCTCAGGGCTGGGAATGGGCAGCAGGGAGCTGGAAAATCGGGATCATTTCACCTTTCACCGCTTGGTTTTCCTTGGAGTTTTCAGGGAATTTGGTGCCTTGATCCCCCCAGAGTGTTCTAAATCCCAGTTTTCCTGTTTTTTTTAGGCAGAGAGCATTCCAGCTGGGAATGTTGTTGTGTTCTTAGCTGTGTGCACGTGTTTTTTAGGGAATGAAGTTAATGGGTTGAATTCTGTTCCTTTAAAATATTAAAGGAAAATCCTGCTAAGTCCACCCTCTGGAATTGGGATTTGGCAGGAATATTGATGGCCAAGTCGTTTATTCCTGGATTTTAGGAAGTTTGGGATAGGCAGGATGAGTTTGGGAGTTGTTTCCTTTAATTTTGAGTGTTTGTCCTCATTATTTCCCAATTTTACGTGGATTATCGAGAAATCCTGGGAAAATCCCCCTGAGTTTTGGGAATCTCCTTGAATTCTGTGCTGCTTTCTGATTTAAATTGTCCTGAAATCAGAATGAAATCTTTGGATGTGGATGGGGTTTTGTGCTTTTTCCTGAGCTTCTTTGGGATGTTTTCCACCTGGTTCTCCTATTTTTCCATGGAATTCTGGGCTTTTCCATTGGATAATCCCAGAAAGTCACATCCTGATTAATAAAACATCCTAAAAACATCCTCAGGTGGATTCTGTGGAGAAATTCCTTCCTCAATCTCATTTCTGTTGTTTCACTTTTTAATTTTCCCTTTATTTTTTATATTAATTCAGTGTCAGGAAAAAAGTGGATTTTACTGCTGGAAAATTGGGAATTTTTGGGTGTTCAGGCAGTTTTTTCCACAGGTATTCCCACTTTTTATCCCGTTAAATTTACAAATCACAGCAAAATTGTGATTTTATTTCTCTTATTAATATAATTTTAGTTATAATTAATTAATTGCTCTTAATTTCCTTCAGGAAGTGTTCTCCTGGGCAGATTTTGGCACTTTTGTGCTCATTTCCATCGGAAAATCCCAGGGGAAATCCAAGTATTGGGAAGCAGGGGTGGCTGGGGGGTTAAAATTAGCCTGAAATTTTGATTTAATTTGGGAAAAAATTCCTTGGTCAGCCCCAGATTCCATCAGAATATTTGGCATTTCCCAAGAAAAGGGAATTCTCAGGAGGCAAAAAGCAAATCCAACAGAATACCAGGGGAAAAAATGGGAAAAACAACTGAGAGAAGAAAGCTTTTTTTAAAATATATTTTTAATTTTTAAGGGAATTTTCCCACAGATTTTCCCACTGTTTTCCTCTGGAATTAAAATTTCCAAAGGGAAAAAAAAAAAAAAAAAAGAGCCAGGAATGAGAATATTGGGAATTTAAAAGCCAGGATTGGGAGGAATAAAAGTCAAAGTTTGATACCTGAGGGAATCCCTGTGGATTGGAGGGAGGGAGAAACTTTGGCTTTTTTCCTGGGAAAAAAAGGGAGGATTAGCAAAGAACCTTCCTAAAATTCCTTCCTAATGCCAGGGGAGGCTCAGGTGGGACATCAGCAGGAATATTTTCATGGAAAAGATGGATAAACATTGGAAAGCCCTTTTGGAATTCGATCCCTGGAAGTGTCCAAGGAATTCCTGGATGTGACACTCGGAGCTCTGGGATCAGGCTCAGCTTGGACTCAGTCCTGGATGTCTTTTCCAACCTCAGGGATCCCGGGATGCTGGGAGTTGAGATTCTCGGTGGGGTTTTCCAAGGAATTTGCAGCAGAGCAGGAATTCCAATGGGAATTTTGGCAAAGTTAGGGATGAGTTTGAAGTCCAGTTGGAACTTCCTGGGATGGGAATTTGGTGTTCCTTGAAAGGTTGGATTGATGGCTGTGTTCCATGGATTCTTCCAAGTCTTTTCCAAGGATTCCCTGATTGTGGGTTGGAATTCCAGCTGGATGAGCTGGTGTGAAAGAGGCGGGAATGAAGCATGTTCCCAAGGATCCTGGCTTTCCTCAGGAATCCTGGATTCCTCAGATCCACCTGGGGACTGCTGAAGGGACCAGGATTTCTTGGCTAGGGGGAATTCCCATAAACTGGAGCTTGGAAAAATTCCTGGGAAGCCCCGGCAGCCGCGGTGCCGCTTCCATCCGTAGAAGTGCCGGTGGAATTCTGCTCCCGATCCCAGTATCCGTGTTAATGCCATCCAGTCCCTTCCCTGCCTCTGCTGCGGGATTCTCTAGGCTGGATGATTCCTGGGATTTCCATGGAATTGGGCTGATGGATTTCCCAGGAATTGGGTCATGTTCCATGGCTGTTTTCCAGCACTGTCTTTCCCTGCCCCGGGAGTTTTGGGATTCTCTT